ACATTTATTTCAGAAGCATTTTGGCTGTAGAGCAGTGCAATTGGTCCTGTGAGGGGATGGGCTCCAGAGTTAAAAAAAGTTCTTGGCTGTCGGGAAGAATGGATCCTCCGCTTGCCTGTTGCGCATTCTTCTCCTCCTCCTCAACAAAGTCCTCCTTGTTGTTGCCCAAGGTCACCCGGGGCTCCTGGGAGGTATCCACAGAGCGTTTTGGGGGTAGTGGTGGGGTTGCCACCTAGAATGGCATGCAGCGCCTCATAGAAGCAGCGTCTGTGGCTCAGAACCAGAGCGACTGTGCACCTCCCTTGTCTTCTGGTACACTTGCCAAAGCTCCTTTATTGTCATGTGACACTGCTGTGTGTCCCTGGTGTAGCCCTTCTCCCCTGTGCCTTGCACAATTTTGGCATAGATGTCAGCGTTTCTTCTACTGGTTCGGAGCTCTGCCTGCACAGACTCTTCTTCCCACACAGCAGTAAGATCCATCACCTCCTGTGTGCTCCATGCTGGAGCGCGTTTGCAGCCTTGCACATCCATCATCAGCTGTGCTGACGAGCTCTCCACGCCAATCAAACAGGAAATGAAAATTCAGAAGTTCCTGGGGCTTTAACGGGGGGCGGAGCAGCTGTTTCCTGTGTACTTGGCTGAATGGCAGTGGAGTTGAAAGTGCTCTTCAGAGCAGTCACAGCAGAGCACTGTGGGACACCTCCTGGAGGCCAATTAATTCTAATTACACAGCGCAGTGTCTACACTATTCCCATATTGACGCATGAATGTCGACTAAAGCGCTACGCCTCTTGCTGAGGTGTAGTATAGAAGTCGACTTTACAAGCCCTATAGGTCGGTGGAAGGGACTCAGTAGCGCAGAGATATATATTATTAATTAGACCTAACGTGGCATATGTTGACCTAACTTTGTAGTGTAGACTAGGCCAGTGAAACTGACTATACACAAAGTGCTGTCAAAGTACACACAAGTAAAACTGAGGGAAAATTTCATTAATATTTTTCAGGTATAGTCCTCTATAAATCCACACACAGTTACACAGGTAACCATTTTCAAAATAAGTGGTTTTTTTGTGTGCATTCAGGGATACCGTTTTAAGGATGTTGGTAGTTGTGAATCCTCCTAAGCCTCACTTTGGGTATTTTTCAAATGTGTCAGGACATCACATTATTGTTTGAAACTTTGTAACAGTTAGGGCCAACTTCAGTCACTGGATTTACTCTGATTTACAAGCAGCACAATGTAGCAGATTCTCACGCTCCTTTGGATTAAATGGAGTGACTGGCCACATGAAACGTAAAATTTGGCTGAAGCTGCTCCTGTTACCCACATGAAAGTTAAAGATTATATAAATATAGTCCAGACCCTGGCATATTTAAGAAAGGGTTTAACACAGGCTTCCTTCTTTTCTTTGGCTCTGCATTACATCCTCTGCTGAGCCAGCTAGTGTCTGACACTATGTCATAGTGAGCCAAAATCATCCTGGTCTAACTCTGTTAATTTGAATGGGTTGATATTAGGGATGTATTTGTGAAAACTACTGAATTAGGAGCATCTATTGTGGGAGAGGTACATGCATCCACATACTTCTGATGCCACCTTTCCATATAGGCAGAGTTACATCAATGCAATTTAGCAAGTACATACATAGTTTACACATACAACAGCTTGAGATTTTAGCAGCCTAGATGTTAGTACTCTTGACAGAACACTAAGCTTCTAACGGGTTTTTAAGTAATCGCTATACAATTATAATTTAAAATGGAATTTTGCTTACATTTTAGGTGAGATGGTGCAATCCTGTGTCCAGACACCCACAAAAATCTTGCTACCAACGTAGAAGCTCAGTGTGGGCCTAGAAAAATCAATTAAAAGTTTGCATGGGGTATAACAATAGTAACTCAGGTCTGAAATACCTTTGTCCCCCCAAAATAGTAACATTCCCGAAGTACATGGAGTTAATGGTGTCAATAAACCATGCCATTAGTTACCTTTTAAATGGCCAGCAAACACTGAAGTTATCAACATGACATTATAGAATTTGACTTATGATGAAAACATTCTCGTCTCATTTCTTCTTAGCTTGAGAAATAACTTTTCAAATAATTGAAGAAATAAAGGTAATCTAAGCATTCTTAGACTAATGCATGTAAGCAGATGAACATACATTTCCTTTTTTTAAAAAAAAGCTAGCTCTTTGAATTCATAAATAAACTATGCATTGGATTTGCAATGGGTTTTTTTCAAATACAATTATGGTTGAGACGGACCTTCATACTCCATTTTCCATAATTACTTGAAAAGGAAAGCTTTTCCTGTTTTCACACCATACTTTTCAAAATATGTATTAGTTTTCCAACAAGGCCAGTAAAATCACCATAAAACAAGGCCACTAAAATTACCAGAGTACTTTAGAATACATTCAAATGATGTAACAAGCTGATGTACAGCATCCACAAACTTATTTTTCTTTTCATACTTCAAGTAAAATCTCCACCCCCGCTCCCTAGATGACCACGTTGAAAGCTTTGCAGAACACATTTTAGGCTGGTGTGACATAAGTGTTTTACTTGACAATTTTATTAATGGCTACAGAACACTGAAAACCAGGAATGACTGAGGATGGCACATTAGTCTTTCAACTCCTGAGATCAACTTTAAATCCTGCCTTAGGTCACAATTGAAGATTTTTGTTTTTCTTCCTCTTCCCTCACATCAAAACCACCATGCAATTTGGTACAATTGGCTGTCACTACTTAAGACAGACCTAGCGTTGGAACAATATTGGGGTATCAGAGGTCAAGATTAAATTGGAGAGCTGTTTGTAGGGAAACTGTACAGCACCTCTGTGCACTCTCCGTGGCTTCAGCAAGTTGTACGAATCCCTTACTTTTATAAGTTATCAAGTCACTCACAAAAGTGCTTGCCTGGAAGACCATTTGGAAGTTCAACTAGAGCAGAATGCAGCTGTCTGCATGATTGGTAGCATAAGTGGCTCAAACTGCACTGGTTCTCTATTTGCTTTCAGTAGCAATTTAAGGTGCTGATCTATGCAGTACTCCATAGCTTGGGTCCTGGCTATAGAGGAGTCTGTCTCTCTCCCTATGTGCCATCATAGGTGGTATGGTCTGCTGGAGCTCTTAAGCTATCAGACCCTGCTGTTAAACAGGAAGCTGAGGCCTGGGCACTCTGAGTGGGAAGATCCTCATCTCTGGAACAAATGCAGTCTATTCACTTTCACATCAGCGTAAGGCTCAGCCGCTTTCTCAGGCTTTCGCCAGAACGTGTAGTAAGTATACAGTTTAGTGGATACTCTTCCCATGTTGACATTGGCCAACAAGTTATGTAAGATGGCTTAATATCTTTCAGGGCTTCAACTGTTACAGGGCTTAATCTCAACTTTGCTAGACTCGAAAAATCATGGACTGAATAGACAGACTCTTGTAATAAACCATAAATCCAATCTAAAACCCACTAAACCCTGCCCCTTCCCATGACTGGAGAGGTGTTAACAAGCCACTTCACCTTGAATGATCCCTTGAAATATGTCCTGACTACTTTATGCTAAACAATCTGTTCCACCTTGTATTTAGCTGTGACACTCGAAGCACATTTTCCAGACCTGAAGAAGAGCTCGGTGTAAACGTGAGCGCGTGTCTCTCTCAGCAACAGAAGATGGTCCAATAAAAGATATTACCTCACCCACCTTGTCTCACAGGGCACTTCAGATATTTCAAAAATTGAGCGTACAGTGAATAGAGCCAACAACTCTGATGACTGTAATTGTAGTTTTATAATACTTTAGTAATTGTAGTATTTTGCCATCACCATCACACTTTGTGGTGCACCTATACACGATACTACTGCTGAATCCACCAATTTAGGCTTCATTTTGTGGCTTTTGAAAATAAAGATCCCACTCTCCTTCTCAAGAAATCTGATCTCCCTATTAGAAGGCAGTAAAGATACAGACACAGTGTCAAAACTTCTAGCATCCTGTGTTGGCTTGAGCCATAACTCCTAGCAAAACAGATTAAAAAAAAATCCTTAAACTTTTCAAATGTTCCAATGGACCAAACTACCATCTGATAAATGTAAGATGAAAGACACAGGAAATTCTCCACTGTGGAATAGAAGAATCAACAAAACATTGAGCAGCCATCTCTGAGACCACTGTTTAAACAGAAATGAGATTCTAAATGAGAAGCATGGTAATCTCAAAACCATTCCTAATTTATGTAACAATCCAGCAGTTTATAATCTTAAATTACTGTTTTCTTTGATATACACATGTAACTCAAATTAGCATTAATGGAAGTTACGCGGATACACAGAAAGAAAAAAATATACTTATTTTAAACTTATCCTCTACAAATTAATGTCTACACTTTTTTGTCAGTCAACATTTGTAGAACATTTCTGCATACTATTATTAAAAGATGTGGTAAATGAAACTTTAGAAATAACAGCTGAAGGACGCTATATTCAAACTCAACCAATCCATTTCAGGATCACTCTCCTTCATTCCCGTAATACAGCACTCTCTGCAAGACAATGCAGAGCTCAAACACACTAACTATATAATGAAGTGATACCATGGCATGTGGCTAGTGCAACTCAAGTGTGTTCAACATAATGCATCAGCACAACTACATGATAAATTGGGTTGCAGTAAGTATATTTCATACTTCCATTTCCAACGGGAAAGCTAGAACTACAGATGCACAGAGAAACAGTGAGTAGAGAGCTTTTAGTCTCAAGAGAGTATGGCTCAACAACTATTGTAAACAATAAGTGCTGGAGGAGTTGATGGGGAGGGGGTGGGAGTATTTAGCTGTAAATGTATGTAAGAAATATACGAATGATGCATGATTTTAAACTAAAAAAAAAAAAGCTTTTACTAAGAGAACATGGATATTCTTCAGTATGACCTAGCTAATACAGAAGCTCTTTATGGAGTCAAACAATTGTTTTTGTTTTTCTTCTAACAATAAATAAGTGTGTATGGTGGGGTGATAGAGGAAAATTTGGGTGCACAATATCAACTTACCTTTCTCTGACTGATCATCCAAAATTTCTGATTACCTAATACTATCCTAAAGCAATATAATTGGCTATCAACGTCACTGATGTTACTGAGCACGGCAAACAATTACTTTTACTAAGAAACAATTTGAAGCTCTCTTCTGAGTGGATGCAGGGCAACATTCCCACAGCTTCTATTAAAATCATATCTGTTCTTATTCTGAGCATGTTACTGACAAACTATTGGTTTCTCCCGGGAACTGCTGTAAAGCTGTAAGCATCGTTTCAACAGGACACACATTTCTATTCACAAGATAAATCATTTAATTAGTAATAATTATCTATGCACAGATTAACAATGGAGTTATGGTAAGGAGTTTTCCAGCTGAAAGTTTATACAACATGGTTTTAACTGGCTTTTGATGGACATTGAGTATCTTATCTGTAATGTACGATTAACATTTTATTTTCCCATACTGTAAAGAAAACTGACAATTTCACATCTGAATTTCAAAACATATTTAAATGCGGTTATGGATTAGTAGTGACAGAATAGCCAGGCATAAAACTGTGAAACCACCTGCACTGGAGAATTATAAATTCACATTTGTAAAGACCCCAAATTTGCTAACCGTAGCAAATTATAACAGTAACTAGAGACATTTATGTACTTATCTTTATATTCTCTGTTCAGACAGCTTTTGCTTGGGAACAAAAAATAAATCTAAAGTTAAGATGTTTAGCGCTGTTAGGTGGATACTTGCTTTGAGAAGCAGTCATTTTAAACAATTAGGATATGCATCTCAAACAAGTATACATATCTAGAAATAATTAACACAATTGAAGAGGTGCAAGTTCTTCTAGAAACAAAAAATGACTTTAAGTAGCATTATTTAGTCCAGACTTTTTCATGCCAACATGGCAAGCTTTGGTTTTATAACTGTTGCGGACTGGTTTAATTTTTACCAGTGACCTGTGCCCAGTCCACAAGACTTCCAAACATTATGTAAAGATGCTGTTTTAGAACAGTGATGTATCAGTTTTGCTACCCCCGATGTTAACAGCACCTACAGCTGTTCACAGCAGCTATGAGAAGGTTTCAAAATGAACCAATTTTCCCATCAGAGACTGTAAATTAGGGATTTTAACAGGACATCCTCTGCCCCAAAACTTGGCACACCTCTCTGTATTTGTTCAAGTCCTCCTAAGCTCGGATTCTTCAGGTCAGCAAGTACTCTAAAAGGCCTGTTTAGAATAGCCAGTGTAAATGCATGACACATGAACACACAAATCCAATCCTAACAAATTCAGAACCGAAGTTTTACATCTCGAATAAACACGAAGATTAATAAGTGAAATGCTACTACTCCTTTGACATTCCTGCTCACAAGGCAAGACATAATACTCATTTTGGTCTCACATCTGTTCGATGGAGTAACGCAGAGCTGGAGCAGTGGCAAAACCAAGTCAATTTGTAACCCTCCAGCTTTCCAACAATTATCTGTTTCTAAGTAAATTCTCTTCTCTTTTAGGTACAGGAGAATATATAGGACATGGGGAAAAAAATCTCACTTATCACTAAGATCAGTTTAGAGGCCTTCCCAATCTCCTACATTCCCCGCCTTCTCCAAACTGATGGTGGTGATGTGCAGTTTAGCAATAGCCACACCTCTGCTCCAAACCCTTTACAAAATTAACAAAATAACCTTCATGGTATTTGCTGGCTAAAAAGATCACCCTTTCCTACAACGGCAATAACACACAAAGTTCTGGAGTACACGGACACACAAAACTTTTTGCAATTGATTAAGACACGTCAGCTTCATTACAGCACTTACTTAGCTGCCAAAGCAGGTTTCCTGTATCATATATTGTAGCAAAGGAATTATTGGTTCGTTTCAGATACTTTCAAGATAATGCTAGTGTTAGATCTATTTTTAGGCAATGAACAGACTATATAAACCTGGTAATATGTGGGCAATTGTCCATTCAGAAAAACTTGTAACCACAATTGAATTCACATCACAATCACTAAAACATGTAAACGTCAAGTAATGTGTCAAAGCAACGAAGGTGTTTAAGAAAATATTGAAACGTTATTAAATACAGCTTTTGTACATAATTCAGTACATACAGCAGTAGATACTGCATAAGTTATTTAATGTGAAAAATCTAGTTGAGTTATTTGAAGTCACATCATATATGAAAGGGAGAAAGTCTCAAAAGGGACTTTTATTAACCCTTTGCTAACCGTTTCTGGCAGTTGAGATTATTATATTGTTTGTCGTCCTTGTACTGCTAAAACAAATTTAAAAAGGAGACGTGCCATTAGGGAAAATAAAAGAGAGCCCCTAAATAGAAATAATTCTGAACTGTCACCACAGATCACCATGATTTTACCTTGATTCTGCACACCAAGGCTGAAGGTCATTCGTCTTTGTATTTTGACACTCTCTTTACAGTAATTTTTAATTGAGCATATGTTACGTATTGGCACAGATTATTTTTCTCTTACATAAATTTTAACAGAGAGAATGAGACTAGCCAAAAAGGAAGACATCAAAAGCGTAGCCTCCTTTACTTTGACAAGTTTTTTGTAGCTAGCTTGATGACAGGTTCAGCTAAAATGAATGTTACAGCATCAAAAACAGTAAATTTACATTTGCAGCCACATTTTAATAAGCGTTCAGTAACTTTGGGTTCTTCACTTTCTGGGCATCCACCTGGAGGCACCTACATGCTCAATTTTCAGAGGTAAAAAGGACCTGCAGCTCCCATTAACGTCAAAAAAATCAAGCACAAGTTGGGCACCCAAATTAGTGAAAACTGAAAATTCTGGCTTTGGTCTTGTTCTTTACCTTATTTTACTCATTTGGAAGAAGTTAATTTCCAGTTTTATTAGGAAGTGAATTCCTTAACAAATCTTTAAGGTAACCTGAAATATTCTGCTGCCAAGACTTGAGTTCAACATCCAAGACTCTCCTCCAACAGTTAAGCCCTTAGTTCAGAGGTGGGCAAACTACGGCCCGCGGGACTCTCCTGCTCGGCCCCTGAGCTCCTGCCCTGGGAGGCTCGCCTCCGGCCCCTCCCCTGCTGTTCCCTGTCCCACGCAGCCTCAGCTCACCCTGCTGCCGGCGCAATGCTCTGGGTGGCGGGGCAGTGAGCTCCTGGGGCAGCGCAGCTGCAGAGCCGCAGCCTGACCCGGTGCTCTGTGCTGCAGTGGCGTGGCTGGCTCCAGCCACGCGGCACAACTGACTGTCCTGGTGCTCTGTGCGGCGTGGCTGTAGCGCTGCCAGCCACCGGTGCTCCAGGCAGCGCAGTAAGGGGGCAGGGAGTAGGAGGGGTTGGATAGAGGGCAGGGGAGTTCGGGGTGGTGGATGGGGTCGGGGCGGTCAGAGGTCCTGGGGGAGGGGGCAATTAGGAAGAAGAGAAGAGGTTGAATGGGGCAGCATGGGATCCGGGGGACAGGGAACGGGGGGGGTGGATGGGGCAGGAGTCCCGGGGGTGTGTGTGCGTGTGTCAGATAGTGGCGGGGACCGGGCCATGCCTGGCTGTTTGGGGAGGCACAGCGTCCCCTAACCGGCCCTCCATACAATTTTGGAAACCCGATGCGGTCCTCAGGCCAAAAAATTTGCCCGCCCCGCCTTAGTTATTAATTATCTATATAGGGAAATGTACCAGCATAATTATACTATAAACTGGTACAATGCCCCTTTGTGGACACATTGATTCTGCTAGTGACAGAAGCTAAACCAGAAAAAAAGTACTCCTATTCTGGAATAGCAGCGTCCATGCAGGGAGTTATAGGAGGCTGGAATTAGAATATCAAGGTGGAGTTATGCTGATACATTTCCCCATGCAGATAAGCCCAAATAAATACAATCTTAGGGCTCAGCCATGGGAGATCTTGCAAGCTTTAGAGAGATTTAAGGTTTCTCAGAATGTGGTAGGTTTGGGCCTTGGGTACAGAAACCTATATGGTTATTAGGACAATAGCCCTAACGATATTTTGGTTGATTTCTCATACAATCATGCAAAACGATAGAAATACACCAATCTTTCACAAACTAGCCTCACTGAGCTTTAATTGCTCCCTAGGACTATGACTGAAATAAAACAGGATGCAATGGTCTTACAACATATTTCAAAGACACAGAACCTTGAACTCTCATCTTGGCAAGTAAGTAAAGGGTAAACTATATTTTATGTTTTGGATTACAACATTTATGTTATGTCAAATTATATTCTTTAATTAGGGATTTTAAATAGTTCTTAAAAATACATATTACTTCCTCTTTAATGGGACAACTATGAAGTTTTCCAGAGAGGAAAATGCAACGTTACTTCTGGAGGAATAACTGAAACGGGTTGTTCCAAATTTGAGTTTGCTACTAGAGGTTTTTTGCTTTGTTGTTCTTAAAAAGGAAACGCGTTATGTCAAGCCAGAGAGTCATTTAATAGAACTAAGTACATCTTATTTTTTAGCATACACATTCAAGTTAACTGAATCACATTAAAAATATAAAACACCTTTGCCAGCCATCAATGGTGGAAAATAAACGAAGAACAAGTCTGTTTACCACTTAATGATACAGTTCAAATAATTCCATCTTTCCCAGCTGAATGATCTAGGTCACTTGACAAGTGATTGCCAGTAAAATGTATAAATGTCTGAAACGTCCATAAAAATATGCCTTGTTAATTAGCAATAAATTGAGTTTTTCAAAAGCTCTCACGCACCTCATTAAATATTAGAGATTCTGACAATGTAGAAATAAATCCTTTGGTTAGAGAAGTTATGCTGCGTTGAGATACCGTAAAAAACCAAAACCAACCAGGAAGTGTCTGAATTGTTTATGTTTTCAAATCACAGCTGTGCTTCAGTGCAGTCTTGTATCACCCTTTAACCGGCAGCAGAAATTTAATCCTGCATCGCACATTTAGCAGGAACAGTTTCCACAGCCCTTCACACTGTTGATAATTTCCTCTTGTAGTTTCTTCCTTTCCTCTTCTTTGGACATATGGTTATTTCTCTCTTCCCATTTCTGGTTGATATTACTATTTAGTATTCTGCTGCTCTGTGTGTGCCACATCTCATAGTAGAGACTGCTGGGACTGGCAAGAAGATCTAAATGGCTACCACGCTCAGCAACTTTACCCTGTAAAATATATATAAATAAAGTTAGTGATTGAACGCTATCAGACCTTTAGATCAGGGGTTCTCAAACTTCATTGCACCGCAACCCCATTCTGACAACAGAGAGAGAAGGGGAGAGAGAGAAGAGCCTGAGTCCGCTCTGGGTGGGGGGGTGGCAAAGCCTATGCCTGAGCCCGCCGCCCCAGGCAGGGGAGCCAGAGCTGAAGCCAAAGCCTGATCCCCGCCGCCCAGGACTGAAGCCAAAGCCTGATCCCCGCCGCCCAGGACTGAAGCCAAAGCCTGATCCCTGCCGCCCAGGACTGAAGCCCCTGGGTTTTGGCCCCGGGTGGCGGGACTTGAGCTTCGGCTCAAGCCCAAGCAAGTTAACACCAGCCCTGGCGACCCCATTAAAATGGGGTTGTGACCCACTTTGGAGTCCCGAGCCCCAGTTTGAGACCCGCTGCTCTAGAGTATGAAGGTGACGAAAGCATGGGCCAGACACTTTCACAGTGTAGATCACAGAAATCCTCCACTTTAACAAGGAGGTGAAACCCCCAGAGACAGGTTCAGATAGAGGGAGCACTGTATGTACAGACTCAGGCCACACTCCATGTTGAAGACGAAGAACTGCAATCTTCTCCGGGTTATAAAAAATAGGTGTAGACCTCAGGTCTCAGTTGGGCAAAGTGCACGGCTTGATTACATGAAAAACTACCAGTTTAAACTAGAGATACAACTTAAAATAGGTTTAGCACTATATATAAAAGAGTTAGGATTTATTATAATTATTAAACTAGTGCCTATGCCAAATTTGCCTTATCTTGACTTAGTTTAAATTGACTAGGAATAAATTTATGCTAAACTGAATTAAGCCATTATTAAACCAAAAATAAGAACGTCCACACAAGGATTTGCACAATTAAACCAAATTGATTTAAAATCAGATTTAAGTTAAATTGGTGCAAACTCTGTGTTTTGCTAAGGCCTCAGTTGTTCCTATGTTAGAAAGTTCAGTCACTAAAATTATATTGGCAACTAAGTATGCGTGTGCTCTCTGTGGGTCCAAAAACTAAGCTCACTTATTAGACTGCATAATAATCAAAATAACACGTTTGTAGCTTTTACTGATTAATATAAGGAGAAAATACTCAACCCTGTGATGTAATATTTACATCATGCAGCAAAACGGTTATACAATTTTCCAGCTCCTTCTCCTTTCCTGATCCTTATTTAATTGGCTGCCATTATTGTACCCTGCACACAAGTGTCAACTATGTTTCATGAACCAGTCTGCCAGCAGGGAGTGATGCATCATGTTGGCTGACTGAGCACATCACTCAGTCTCTACTGAAGCAGGAGCTTGGAAAAGCAAGACAACTGATGAACCTAAGCATCCCAGCTGCTCAGCTAACACTAATGAACTAGTTTAATTGTGTTTCTTTTTAAATCCAACAATTATACTATAATACAAAACACACTCTTACTGTGTTGTGATACATTATATAATTCACAGATTGGCTCATTACATATGGTTATAAACCACACTAAATGTTGCGGTAGGTATGACTTTTTATAGAAAAACAGAGCCACATGAATGTATACTATTTAAATGTTTAGCAAAAGCAGCAAACAGCAGATAGGTGGGAAGTGAGTTTACTCCATTATCTAATTTTGTCCCTGCCATCTGAATCTCAATGATATTGAGAAATACCATTAACTCACTTCAAAAGTTTCTTGTTTAAGAAATTCCAACACAATCATTTAACATACCAAAGAAATATCTGTCTGTTTTCTTCTAGATATATACATTTTAATATTTTAGACACTGAAGATTTCAATGAATTCAAGCATATGAATAGCAAATAAAATAGATGAACAGCAAATTTAAGAAGATCCATAATTGGCAGACTAAACCTAAATCACTAATATCTACTGAGATATCAATTTTAAAAAGCTATTAAGTGATTTTTAGGGGCACTCATTTTAACTTTGTTACTCAGATTGTAACAGAGAGGAAGGTGAATAACATACAACAGTCAGAGTATGAGGTGGCAGCTGAACAGCGATATTAATCAGATATTGAAAGGGTCTCTTTTTGGGGGTGGAGAGAAAGACAGAGGGAATAATTACAATTTTCTAGAGCTACGAGCCACAATAGAGTGGTGCTCAGATTTCTACCATAATTAGATTGAACAATCCTGCAACAATTTTATCTGCAGAAACACAGCACACACTGCTCTCTTTTCTATTGAAAATGAGAAACCAGGGATGTATCTGAAAAAGGGCCACTCTTATTGGGCGATGAAAATGAAACATAAATTGGGGGAACACATTAGGAATCCAACATGACAGGAATCCATAATAGAGGTAAATTGTACACCACCTTAAACCAACACCACATTGCCCAGTGAATCGGATTTACAGTAATCCACTTAAAACACTAGTAACTACATGTAGTTAAAAGTATTATACAAGCGCACTACAACATATAAAAACTAGGCATTCATATGTACAGATACACTAAATTTCTGCCATTAATAAGTTGTATTTGTTGCAAGAAAAATGACTTCGTAAGAGAAACTTGGGGTAGATTTTTCAGACATGGTTAATTTCCGACAAAGGCAGTTCAGTTCTGTATACTCAGAAATAATTTGTAGATTTCACACACACACACACACACACACACACACAGTCACTAAAACATTCACATCATGTCAAAGTTGAATTACAGAGGGTGATATAGTCTCTCACCTGATCCAGGACAAGGATTTCATCTGCATCAACTACTGTTGACAATCTGTGTGCAATGAAAACAGTTGTTCTGTGCTTTACCAGGTCCCTCATGGCACTGAGAATGTTCTGCAAATTAAAAATGTACATCTATATATATATACACACACATTTAAGAGGAAATAAAATCAGATTGTGTAACATGTCAAACGAAGTTTTAATGAATGCTGAAGAATGTCTTCAAAGCCCCAAATTGAAAAATAGCTGGAACTATTTATGGAAGAAGCAACACAACGCCTAGAATAAGACATTAGTAGCTCTGTGAAAGTCCTCAAAGTGGAGCTTCGCAGTGTGAAGGAAAGCCAAGGGAGGTTACACTTCTCTATGAAATTTAAACATCTCAAGGGGGTAGAGGAAGGGAACTGTTTGCTCACCTTCAGAAAAAAACGTTTGTAGTTTGACTGTACAAGAAACAGTGCTGATCGCTGTGGCATGTGCAGGTATAGTGTTTTACTTTCCAAATCAACAAAAATTAAAGAACAGCCAAGACTGTGGGTATGTCTACACTAAGGAGATTATACCGGTATAACTATGCCATGGGAGCCATGTTCGCATAACCTGCTTACATCTGAAGACGTGAGGTTTTTTTACCCACGAAAGCTTATGCCCAGGCTACCCCGTGATACTTTCTGCCACATATTTGTAGCCTGTGCTGATGAAAGGGGATTTTCCATTGGTGTAGGAACACCATCTCCCCAAATAATGGTAGTTAGGTTGACAGAAGTATTAGGTTGACAGAAATATTCTTAATTGACATAGCTGCGTCTACGGGGGTTAGGTCAACATAGCTACGTCGATCCGGGGTGTGGATTTTTCACACCATGGCTGAAGTAGCTACAATGACCTAAATTTTAAATGTAAACCCTGGCCTGTGTCAACAAGGAACACAAAAATCCCCAAAACCACAATAGCCCAAGGAAATATTTACTATCTACAGCCATCCCCATCAAGTCAGAAGCAGTGTTTCCTTTTCCACCTTCATGAGCTGCAATACCTCAGATGCAGAAGTGTGATTTAAAGCTATGTCTACAATGTAATAAAAGACCTGCAGCATGACCACAGATAGCCCAGGTCAGCTGACTATGGGTTTGAGAGTAGGTGCCCTGGGTGTTTTACCACAGTGTAGACATACACAAGTTGGCTTAGGGTAACTGCTACACAAGCTGGGATATGCATTTTGTTTTCTTTAAATAAAGTTAGCCTCTGTCAGAAAACATTGTGATTACAAGATATACATTTCTGGAAAGAACTCATTTTTATTTGCTGCCTTTAAAGTGCAGCTGTGTTTTGCAAACATTCCGCTTTGTTTGGCAACCTTGCAATAAATATAGCAAAATGAGAGGGAAAAAAGTAGTACTCTTCAGAAATCTTTGTCACAAATGATAAAAACACAAGTCCAGGGAAGTGGTTTACTTCAGACAGGGGGATTATTTATATTATACACCATAAGCATGTACCAAGTGTACATTAAATGACTTCCCTATGTCTGTAAAATAAGCGCAATCTAGTGATCGGCGGTCAAAGTATGCCAAATAATCTACACAAGTGGAAACAATTTGCAAACAGCATTCTTTTAGCTCTAGTTTTAGAAAATGCGATTAGTTCATGAAATTACTGTTACTGCTGAGATTTTTGTATTTAGTACAAAGATGTGGTTATGAAGTCTGATGCAGTTGCTGTGGTAGTCCCATGACATCTGTGTCACAACAGTCTCATATTTCACAGCCCTTCCTATGAAATGAATATAAATTAATACCAGCAGTGTAGGTTATGCATACCTGACTTGCATCTCAGTATGATGCTCCACAATGAACGAAAGGTTTTCTATTTTGCATTATGTCACAATCATTTAAATTACTTCTATTGTAATGAATATTAAATAACACCCAAATTCCTCTATTTAAAGTGGACTGTAGGCTTCATACACCATGAGTACATTAGCAACTGCAACACTTTCAAATGATGTGGGCTTACTGCTGCAACAGGATGTCACGCTGTAAAACAGGACAGTAGTTCAGATGTGGACCTGACATTGCTGGCTCTGGCTCAGTGTAGGTTGGGAATCTCAAGGTACATCTATGCTGCAATAAGAGACCTGTGGCATGGCTACGGCTGGCTGGGTCAGCTGACTTGGGTTCTGCAGGGCACAGGCTCATGAGGCTATAAAATTGCAGTGCAGAGTTTGGGCTTGGGGTGGAGCCCAGGCTCTCAGACCGTGAGATGGGGGAGACCAGGCTTCAGCCCCAGGCCAAATGTCTACACTGCAATTTTATAGCCCCGCGAGCCCAGGCCAGAGTCAGCTGACCTGGGCTCAGAGCAGTGCCATGGGTTTTTTAATCTCAGTGTAGACATACCCTTAGTGTCTCAACTTTTGACCTATGGGGAAAGATTCTTTACTCTTCTCATTGAGAAGACTAAAGAATGGCATTTGAATAGCTAGACAAAAAGCAAACATGACAAAAACTCTTCTGGGAGGAGGTTGGAGGGCCAGCAAAGTTGGACAGAATGCAGCTGAAAAGGCTTTAGATTCTTTATCCTAATTTACCTCTTCTGTAATTGAATCTAAAGATGATGTGGCTTCATCGTAGAGAATAATAGGAGGATTCTTTAAGATGGCTCTGGCAATAGCAACTCTTTGCTTTTCCCCTCCTGAGCAACAGAGAAGGAAAAAAAGGTTATTTTTGCCTTGATCACCATGGCATGGTATTCTAACACCTGTGATAAAGAGAGAGACCTACAAATAGGATACATCTGAAGTCCTTTTTCATTAGTCTTTGCCATGCAAACATTTCATATAAAAAGAGAGGGATTACAGCCACATTACAAGAAACCTCCACCCATTTTGCTCAGCAGAATCTTGAAGCTTACCTGATAATTTTCACATGGGACTAAAGTCCATTTGAGGTTGAAATGACAATTGGAATTATTACACTTCTGGCTGCCACCAGCAGCCATTTTCTGAATAGTGACACCAGAAGTATTAGTCAAATGTAAAACTGATTTCAATTTTGAAATCAGTGTTAAAGCTGGACAAAAAGTAACCTTCCAAACACAATTTAGTGGGGGCAACAAAGTGCTCAAGTGTAAAAAGATTGCCCAGCGGTACTTTGAAATAATACTTAGCTCTTACATTGCTCTTTTTATTTCATGTACAGATCTTCAAAGAGTATTAAAAAGGAAGCTAAGAATCATTATTCCCATTTTTTCAGATGGGGAAACAGATACAGAGAGGCAAAGTGACTAGTGCAAGATCAGACAGGTCAGTAGCAGAGCCAGGAATAGACCTCAATCTTTTGATTCCAGTTTGCAGGATACTGAATTGGTTTCATGCTGCTTCTGACTCAGGACTATACGCTCATATACAATATTCCATGCCTAAAATAGCCTCCATCGTCACATGAGCCATGCAACATTACATGCTGCCACCAAATCTCTCTCACAACTCACTTCCGGCTAGCCTTCCACTATTTGCCTTTACTCAGGTGCTCCCTAAAAATCCAATATGGTTATGTAAACATGATTCTTAAACTGCCTGCAGCAGCCTCAAGTTCTTGCATACACAACACCTAACACCCCCCAATAGATGATCCCCTAAGCACCCTCTTTTTCTACCTTGTGGTTCTGTTGTTCACCAATCCCCACTGTGACATTCTATATCTTGGGGGAGTGTCCTGGAACCCCCATATCCTCCATTTTTATATAATCATGATCTTACATATAAAGCATGCCTTGTAAGGTATCAGGGGGAAGGTTATGATCTGTTGAAAGTCATTTCTCTATCCATATATGTGTATCATTGGTGCATGTGAAGTTATGAGAATTGTGTTGTATGGTGGTCACTAAAACATGCTGTAAGTTGGGGAATCAGCCAGATATTAGCTCCCCAGAGGCAACAGCAAGGAAAGTAACCAACACCCAGGCAGGATGTCAATCAACCCATCAACAACCATTGTCCAGCAAGGGAGCTACAATGCAATGACTCACCTGCATGGGGCCCACACTAGGGGAATTGCTCAGCCTTGCCTGGAGACTCAGCAATGTCACCCAGACATGCCTGGCCTTGTGTTTTCCAAGCACATGGACTGAGGGTATAAAACCAAACACAGGGGGCTCATACTGGACCTTTTCTCCTTCACCCACCTATGCTGCAAGCAACAAGGATACTCTGAAGACTCCAACTGAGGGAACTTGCCCAGATTTCAAAGGTGAAATCTGTATATTAAGGACTGCAATATCCAGTGGGGTGAGAAAAACTGCTTTGTCTAGTTGTTACCCAGTCTAATAAGGTTGAGAGTTTAGGCTGCGTGCTTATATTTTATTTCTTATGGTAACTATCACTTAAAATCTGTTTTTTGTAATCAATACATTTGTTTTATTGTACATCTTCACCGGTGCGTTTGTATGAAGTGTGAGGCAAATCTGCTCAGGTTTTGCAAAGGCTGGTGTAGATCCACTTTCCATTGATAAAGTGATGAACCAATTAATAAATTTGCACTGCTCGTTTTGAGCAGTGCAAGACGGTATATTCCTGGGGTACAGTGCTGGGAGGATTTGGCTCTGGTGCCTCTCTCTGTGTGATTTATGAGTGGCTCTGGGAGCATTCATGAAATCTAGCTAGGTGTGTGGGGCTCCACATGCTGGCGTGCTGAGCGATCACAGCTCCTGGAGGGGCTTGCTGCTCATCACTAGCAAGGCATTGTGAGGGACAGCCCAGGCTGGAGAGAGTTAAGGGGGAACAGTGGTCCCACAGTCCCAGGCTGCACCCCAGGGATCCCATCAGACCCACCATCTCGTCTTGATATAACCCTTATTTATTGTGTAATCTGTGTATATAAGAATGTGGTTAAACTGAGCAATAAACTGAAGTTGCACTATTTTCCCAAGATGTTATTTTTACTTCTCTCTTTTAAGAAATATCTAGTATGAAGAATATCACTGTTTGCTAGAACCCATGATTGAAAAGCATGCAGTGATCCCATAATTGGTGGCCTTCTCTTATGCAGCTGGTTTGCAGCATATTCAGTTGCTTCATGTTTTTCTTTATGCACAATCCAACAAAGCAGTGTTCAGTGAATATTTTTAAAATGCTTTTGTATTTGCAATGCTTAATACTGTAGACAAATAAAAGCCAGGTTTATATCAATGTTTAAAATTTAAATTTATATTGCCTGCATAGGCTAAAGCTGTTTTGATATTTGTTGTTCACTCTCTATGTAAACAGTTAGTTTACAAAGTTTACTGTCCATTAAGCATTTACTCATTGCATTTAATGAATATAGAAGTTTCCATTTTAACAAACACTCTTCCCCACTGCACCTTTTATTTCAGCATTACACAAGTGAGGAGAATCATCATGCAATATTTGTAATGTTTCCTTCATCACATTAAAATCTATAGACACATACATACAACAGATAGATATTTCTTCTTGTTAAAGCTAATTTGCTGACTTTGAGAGATGTCAATTCACTGACTTGACTGAATGTTGCCCACATTAAGCACAGGCTACTTAGTTACCCATTTTAAAAAAGTTTTAAACTCTCTAAGTGCGCTGATGGCTTGCTACAATTTACATCCCACAATTTTACAATGATCACCACTGGATTACTTGAACAAAAGGATCTTTTACTACAGCAAGTAAGCCATTTGCATACAGAATTCTAACCGTGCGCTCCACTCCACAGGATGAACATCTATGAGAATGAGGGCTCATAATTACATTTCCCCAGATTTCTAATGAAAAATGCTGCCACGCATTTTCCATCTGGAAGTCCATTATTTCTCTCTCCCCTCCACCGAAGCTTAATTTTTAATATCACCAGTAGGGTAGCCTACCTTTCTTTTACTGAAACATCCTTTGTTTATGAACAGTGGCCCCTCAAACTCAGCTTCTCCCATTGTTAAAATGAAATATGTGGATTTCAATGCAGCCCACTTAAAGTACAGAGTGTACTCACTGTCTTCCCCCCTAGTTTTCCCTTGCTCCCTTTACTAGAATGCTTTGGGGGAAAAAACCTCCTGAGAAAGGATTGAGTATTTTCCCCCAGGAAATGTGAGGCTGAACTTATTGTTTTAAGCTCTAATGAACTAAAGCACATAAGCATTTGGGGAAGCGGGTCTGGTTCCATTTCACAATTCCAGAAAAATATGAAACTTCAAAGTCATTATCACATTGATAGTACTCAAATGGAGCTACTTCGAAAAGTCAGAGGTTTATCTATAAAAGTGAACTAGTGACAAGGTGTATCAAGTCCATTAAACAAACAAGGGGTTTGCAGCACAATAGATGGAGTTTAGCTTCATAACTTTCATTAACACTGAAAATGTAGCTCTAACTAGTAAAACATGTTCTATCAGAATCCAGATGAAAGAGAGAGTTTGAAACATTAAAGCCCAAAATTGTCAACTAATTTTCAAATGCCTCTCTTTAAGGATTCCAATTTGAGAGAGGTTGGGTCCCGAAAGGTGCTGAACACACACAACTTCAATAGAGTTCAATTCAATGTGCCATTTGAAGCACCCAAAATTAGTGGGTATTTCTGGAAGTATTGGCTTAAGCCTCCCTGGCACCTTGATCATATGTAAAAGTTATGATACATGTTAACAACTACTGTCCACATTCTAATACTCACCTAATTTAGTGTCAGAAGTAAATGAGTAGGGAAACAGAACTAGGGAAATACAACCTAGATGGAGCTACCATAAGGTGGGGTGCATAACTGGTTGGAAAACCGTTCCCAGAGAGTAATCATCAGTGGTTCACAGTCAAGATGGAAAGGGATATTGAGAGGGGTCCGACAGGGATCAGTTCTGGGTTCGGTTCTGTTCAATATCTTCATCAATGATTTAGATAATGGCATAGAGAGTACAGTTATAAAGTTTGCACAAGCTCTGAGAGTTGCAAGTGCTTTGGAGGATAGAATTAAAATTCAAAATGATCTGGACAAACTGGAGAAATGGTTTGAACTGAAGTAAATAGGATGGAAGTCAATAAGGACAAATGCAAAGTACTCCACTTAGGAAGGAACCATCAGTTGCACACATACAAAATGGGAAATGACTGCCTAGGAAGGAGCACTGCGGAAAGGAATCTGGGGATCAGTGAATCACAAGCTAAATATAAGTCAACAGTGTAACACTTGCAAAAACAGTGAACATCATTCTGGGCTGTATTAGCGGGAGTGTTGTAAGCAAGACACGAGAAGTAATTCTTCTGCTCTACTCTGCGCTGATTAGGCTTCAACTGGAGTACTGTGTCCAGTTCTGGGCACCACATTTCAGGAAAGATGTGGACAAATTGGAGAAAGTCCAGAGAAGAGCAACAAAATGATTAAAGATCGAGAAAAATATGACCTATGAGGGAAGAGTGAAAAAATTGGGTTTGTTTAGTCTGGAGAAGAGACGACAGAGGGGACATGATAAAAAGCTGTTACAAGGAGGAGGGAGAAAAATTATTGTTCTTAACCTCTGAGGATAGGATAAGAAGCAAGGGGTTTAGGTTGGACATTAGGAAAAACTTCTTAACTGTCAGGGTGGTTAAGCACTGGAATAAATTGGAGGTTGTGGAATCTCCATCATTGGAGATTTTTAAGCGCAGGTTACACAAACACTTGTCAAGGATGGTCAAGATAATACTTAGTCCTGCCATGAGTGCAGGAGACTGGGCTAGATGACCTCTCAAGGTCCCTTCCAGTCCTACGATTCTATGATTGGAGCTGCTGTTCACTCCAATGTCAAAGGCACATCCTCAACTGCTTCTTTGCCAACTAGTAAATTCAAATCACTCTGATTTTTACTGATACATTATTTTTCAAACACCAAAGACCAAATAATAATAATTTTAAAATTGCATTTTTTCACCGCAATTTAAGTGCTTCTTCCACAAAAAAACTTGTGTTGTGTGTGTAGTCAAGATCACCATGGTGACAGTGCAAAGTGTAAAATGGAGTAAATGTTTCCTCAACTTTCAAAAAGGCTTCTGCCCAAGAGTCTCAAGGTCAGAAAGGCAAGAACTTCTCCCCATAACTAATGGGAGAAGTGTCTTTCAAGACACAAAATTTGATTTTACAACAGGCATTTCTGACGGTGGGGCCATCGTTTGAAGTTACAAGGTTTGAGATATTAGCAGTATTGGAGAAAACAGTGTAAGAATAAAGCAAGCTTGCATCCTGCAAGTCATACACAATGTTACTGGCCAAAATGTTTTTATCCCTATCTGCTAGGTTCTACATCATTCTGTCTCGCTTATATCTCATCTTCCTCTACTCCCTCACTCAGCCCTTGGGCTATACATATCCTTCTTCCCTTCAAGTGTCCACAAATGCTTTTGTGATTTCTCCTGCACCTAGAATGCCCTCCCCAACCATCTATGCACACAGCCTCCGTGTCATGCAATCACTCTTTTCTGATAACCTACTTCTCTCCACCTCTCCAGTAATGCCCCACACTTTCACGTTATTCTAATGAAGTTCTTTTAAAAAAAGGGGAACAAAACCCTCCTTGTGAAATAAGGCAAATGTTCAAATATGCCAATTTTCAGATATTAACTTTAAAGTTTAAACAAAATATATGAGAAGTTTAAACTTCATCAAGTGGCTTTTAGTCATGGACAAAAGCACTTCTTTCTTTGGGAACTTTTCGATTACTGAGATGATAATATGGCTATGAATAGATAAGTTATTTTCTTTCAACATGCACCTTAAGAACAATGCACACACTGCTGCATACATTGGCATATGGATCTGGTCAGAAGCAGATGTTGCCTTACATCTTTGAAACCTATAACAGAAAATGGATTCAGGCACCTATGAGTTTTGTCATCACCACACCTTGCACTTTCCAGAATATCCACCAACAAGGAAAATCAATTCCATTAGCAGAATAAGCAGGGAATACTTCATGAAATCGCTACCACATTCCACTTTCACGCAGCTATCTATTATAAAACATTTGTAAGCACCATAAGAATACAGACTACTACATAAAATGTAACATTTATTCTTTTGTTATGATTGTTTCATCCCGCAAGATAAACATGGATTTCAGTTTTGCATTATTCAACATATACAATTCATAGGTTAATAATGTGGACAATGTCTTGAGCACAAATCTAACAGCTTATTTCCAAACAAAATTTTAGGTTTAAAAGATGGCTAAGGTTGAAACACTCAATGAAAAACATGTACGCGTGCACAAACACACCAATAAAACACAAAATTCTACATCTTAAAACCCCACATCCACCCACCCCAAACGTCCTACAAATAAACAAGGTAAGGCATCCAGACATTTCCCAACTGCCATGCAGTCAGTCATCTATCACTTGCTATCACCCACTTAACTCTGTCCCAGTAAGGATGCCAGCCTTCCACCCCCACTTTCCTCAAACATGCATATGCGTAATTTTACAGAACTGTACAGAAGGGGCAGTGGTGGGAAGCGAGAGGAGATAGTCAGGTCTGAATGTGGTATGGAGGTGGTAGGTGGAAGTTTGGCAGGGTGATGCTGAAAAGCTGGCATCCCTACTGAGTTAAGGTTGTGGTACATTCTCTGGCATGTGTATTGTGGTTGTGCTGCTGGGTGAGATGCGTCTCTCTGGGTGGAGCTGCACAGGGTATGTTAACTTTTTATTTCCTTGCTTTTTAGGTTTTATATTAGGTGTGTTATATAGCCAATACACATTGCAATCTGTCAGTTAAGGTTATGTATTAATTTATCTCAAATTCAAAATAGCAAGTTACCATAAAATTATAAAATCCCTTTTACTATGAAAAGGATCAATTTCCAATATACTGTACCAACATACTTCATAACAGCACTCACACACACACACACAAAAAGTAGTAGCTGCACATTTATATTTAAAAATCCAAACTTGGAAGTTCTACACACACTTGTGTAAACCTACAATACAACATAAGCAGCAACACACATCATCAAACCAAACACACCAGACATTCCAATTCTATTCATACACATTCTTCTACTACCCTCACACATCACACTAGAAGGAAAAAAGTCTATGTAATTCTGACATTACTTAATGTTCCCTGAAAATATATTCCTTTAAATACCTTCTAGAATACAGAGGTCTTGAGCCACTGGTATTAATATTTAACTCTACACTTATTACATGCCAGCTAAGAACTTCAAATTAATGACATCTCGGGGCGATGTGTGAACTGTGTACACAGTTTGGAGCTAGCAAAAATGGTGCAAAGAATGTACAGATTTACAGATTTACCTGAGAGCTTGAGTCCTCGTTCACCAACTTGTGTGTTGTACCCATTGGGCATTCGGGTAATAGCATCATGGATTCCTGCCAACTTTGCTACTGCATACACCTCTTCTGCTGATGCACCAATATTACCATACAAGAGGTTGTAGTAGATGGTGTTATGGAATAGAACGGCATCCTACAATTGTAAAGAGTATTTTAAATATGAAAATATGATTGATACTTCATGGGTGCAGGTTGGAAAAAAAATCAATACAGATTAGTTTATACTCTTCCACTGAGCCCTTAAGGGAAACATGTTTCTGGGAAAATGCAATTGGATGTTTCAATATCTTGAACCGATATAAAATGTATTTTGAGTTAAATCATTAAGATCTTTATAATACATGCTCTAGTTTTACCATCTTGCAACAAGTGTTAATGACTATGTAAAACATTGTGCAAGAAACCTCTTCATTTCCAGTAGTAACATCTCCTTGATGTTTCAAATATTAAAAGTTACAAGGGTTCCGGAAATACTGAAGCAACAGAGACTTTCAAATTAAGCCTGACAACACAATTGTGCAAACCTTGTCTTCCATTTGAACGAGAGCTTCTGAATATCAAAAGTTACACTATCAAGGACATCTGGGATATTATAAAACACTATACCTGAGGTACAACGCCTATAGCCTTCCTCAGGCTTTCCAAGCTGATGTCTTGTATATTCTGACCAGCAACATAAATATTTCCTTTCTGGGGTTCAAAGAAGCGGAATAGTAATCTTACTATTGTGCTTTTTCTAAAATTGAGAGAAGGGTTGAAATGAAGGTTAAATTTTACTTTAGCATTTGTAAAGCTCAATCAATATAAAAGTATCACAGAAAAAAAAATCGCCAAAGCAGAATAAAATCGTATTTTCAAACTCTAATCAATGATGCAGAATTTGGCACAGTCCATTTACCCACCCTGACCCACTACCTCCTACAATGGCCACTTTCTTTCCTGCAGGGACTTCAAAAGACACTCCATTAAGGACTTTCTGCCCCTCAAGGTATTCAAAATACACGTTATCAAAGGCGATGGTAGCAGTCTGTGGTGTGATGTGCAGCGGTGGAGCCAGCTCTTTGTCCTATTAAAAAAAGAGTGCCACTTTACACACTGCTCAGAATGTATTTCAAACAGCTTAACAAGCTTAACAGTCAATTTCCTAATTCAAAAAGTGAAAGGCAGATGCTTTAGCTTTAACAAGTTAAAAATTATTTATTTCAGCCATACATGTGAAGATTGTGTTTCATTCCTCTCCTCCCTGAAGGTCAAAAATTTCCCTTCTGATCATTCAGCTTCTAGGCAGCTTTTTGGCATAATAAATTCTGCATCATTAATTACAACTAAAAGTCTTAAGAGCATGGTGCAAACACTAAAATAAAAGAATCTCAATACCAAGACAGCTTCTCTGTGAAATAACATTCTCTCTTACTAAAAGGCTCTGCAAGTTAAAAGCAAAAGCTATTCTACTAACTGCACTTAACACACAGAATGAACAGAGCTTTCTTACACAGCCTCTCCTTGTAAAATAGAAATTAGCGCTGAAAGGTAACAGAGGATGAAGTGAGAACATTGCCAGGAAAAAAATACCCTATTAATGCAGAAGTACTTGGTAACTTTTTTAAAAGTACTTTCTAAATTACTTACTTTAATTCTTGTGTCTACGCTAAGCAGTGTAAACAAGGTGTTCATATCTATGAGAGCTTGCCTAGTCTCTCTGTACACTGTTCCCAGGAAGTTAAGTGGTAGAGAAAGCTGGAATAGCAGTCCATTCACCATTACCAGATCACCAACTGTCAAGTTCCCTTAAGATAAAAATAGGGGAGAGACAGCATTTATGTTAAATATTTTACCAGCATGGCACATAAATATTTTAGGGCTGTTAGTGTGAAATCCAGCATAGTCTCTGCTATACACCTCTACCCCGATATAATGCGACGCGATATAACACGAATTCAGATATAATGCGGTAAAGCCGTGCTCCTGGGGGCGGAGCTGCGCACTCTGGCGGATCAAAGCAAGTTCAATATAACGCGGTTTCACCTATAACGCGGTAAGATTTTTTGGTTCCCGAGGACAGTGTTATATTGGGGTAGAGATGTACCACATTTACAATAGGATACAACTGTTTAACAACACAAAAGAAAGGTCATTCTTGGAGGAGCACAGTTTGTCCAGTCAAGTGTCACAGTCGTCACTTATGCTGATTTCATTAAGATATTACATTATTTGGAAAAAGAGGCAGATAGCATAGTTATAAAATCACAGAAAATTCTAGACCAGGAGATGTTGCAAACTCCACTGTTTCTCTCTTTTCAATGGGTTCTAAAAGACCTTAGAAATATAGACAAGAAACAACCAATGGAACCTAGATATTAGGGACATCATTTCATGGACCAGAGAGGGAACATTAATTTTCTATGTGGCTCTGGTGAGACCACACCTCGGATACTGTGTGACACTATGAGGAACTCAGTACCAAATACATTGAGCAGGAAGATATTCAAAGAACAGCCAAAAAGACAGACAGGCCTGACCTGGGAGGAAAAACTAAGAAGTGGTCAATCTTCAGATGTTCTGAATTTATACTCGGCCAAGGAGAATGGGCAGGAAAGGGCTCCAAGCCACTTTTCCACTCCCCTGTTTTTAGGCCAGCTGGGAGCTGGCCCTACATTACACTGGTTACAATAGCCAGACACTGCACCAGCCAAGGACCTGTCACAATGCTGTGCACTCCACTACACTGCCTCCCTTCCTCTGGCATATCCCTTATGTGTGGGAAGAAGGGCAGGCAAACAGACAAAGATATGCCAGCGTTTGCCACCCAAGGATTCCCATGTCAAGAGAAATCTTTGCTTACCCCATCATTCTGGTGCTTTGTAATGCCTGAGATATTTTAGTTCCGCTTAACTAAAATAATGACCAAATGGGGTCATTCTGCTGCCATATTAGTCTACAAGTATTTAATGGTTATTCCATCTTATCTGAGATGGAAGAGGTATTGTTTAGTGTGAGGGACGGAAATGAGTAAAGAAAGATAAAATATGTAGAAACATTTCCGTACTGGGATTCTATTAGATTGGGGAATAGCCTTCTGAGACTAGTGGCGATTTAAAACTAGATAAGACAAAGTAATAAAGTACAGTACATAGTGTAGGGAAACAATCTTGCATGGGTAGAGGATGGACAAGTCAACCTAATAGAAAGGATTTTCCCCTTTTAAAAAATATTTTCAGTAACAAAACAAAATGCCCAGCAAAAAGCCACATGCATCAATAAATATAATAGTCATATTTTGTAATTCTTCAGTACATACTATGAAAGGCAAGATTTACAAGTGTACTGCTAAGTTATGTTTCCTACTAAATCTTTTTCTATCTAAATGTCAGATTCTTTAGACTAATAGTTACCAGCATGTGTCATAACACTAACTGACTCTAGACAGTTCTATCAGGTATAGGATCTACCTCCAGAGAAGGGCTTCTCAAACACAGAGCTAGGCTATGCCTAGCCGCTCTAAGCTGAGGGGAGAGAGCTCTCCCATCGATTTAATTAATCCACCCACAACAAGGCGGGTAGTTATGTTGGTAGGAGAAACTGAGGGAGGTGGCCTATTCACACCCCTGAGTGACATAAGTGGTAGGGTATACATAGCCCTAGTATCATCTCAGAATGAATGAGCACAGATGAGCAACTGATGGGTGCAAAAACTTCTGTAATTGGTCACCATTATGCCCATGTCTTTCCATGAACTTACATATTCTAGAGAAACCCAGAATCCCTAGAAAAGTCAGTACATTCAACATGAGTTACTTTTCCAACTACAGATCTCAGAACCATCACTGTCTGTGGCAGGGCTTTAGAGCGGGGCCCAGAGCTGGAGCATGGAGCAGCTCCGGAGCTGCAGGTTTTTGCCTGGAGCTGGAGCGGAGCCGGATGACAGCTCCAAAGCCCTGGTCTGTGGATTTTGTAATAATGAATGGAGGTTTTTAGCATAAGTTAATTCACCCTTAGAAATGCGTAAAATTTCCCTGACCACTATAAAATATTTCACTTCAATTTAAACTATTGGTACAATTT